CCTGCATGAGTCTCAGCCCCCCTCCCCTCCTCTGACCCCCTCCCTGCCTGTGCCTCTTGCAGGGTTCCCTTCCCCGGCACCCATGCGCCGGGCCCAGAGCTCCCTCTGCCTGCGGGATGAGACCTTGGCAGGCGGGCAGCGGCGGAAACTCAGCTCAAGGTTCCCGGTGGGCCGAAGCTCTGAGTCATTCAGCCCTGGGGACACCCCTAGGCAACGATTCCGACAGCGCCGTCCAGGGCCCCTGGGGGCACCCATCTCCCACAGCAAAGGTGAGGGACAAGGGTCACTGTCCCAGCCGGCCCCCCAACTCTTTGTGGACCCACCAGCTCCTTGGGGGAGGAGGCTTCCTTCTTGTCCCCTGTGTCTCCTGCAAGCTCTGTCCACTTCCACCCTGGCCCTGGGCCCAGTGGTTGCCTTGTGCCTCCCAGGACCTGGTGTGGGATGGGAGAACTCCGCTGAGACCCTCCAGGAGCACGAAACAGATGCCAACCGAGAGGGTGAGTGGGAGCCTGAGGAAGGAGCAGCGTTCTTTGTCCTGCCTGGGACCCCTGGCAGAACCTCATTCATCCATTCTGTCATTTGACAATGATCCTTTACCAAGTGCCAGGTGACATGCTGGCAGGGGACACAGCAGGGAACATTCTGGTGTGAGGAGGCAGATAGTATTAAACAATTTGCCTAAAAATAATTATTATCTACAACAGCCCTGTCCACTAGAAATACGGTGTGAACCACCTGATAATTTTAACTTTTCCAGTAGGCTCACCAGAAAAAGTGAAAAGAGACAGGTAAAATGGATTTTAATAACATTTAACTCAGTATGCCTACACTATTACCATTTCAGCATGTAGCCAGTGTAAAAATCATGAATGAGCTATTAGACATGACTTTTTTTTTTTTTGAGATGGAGTTTCACTCTTTGGCTCACTGCAACCTCCGCCTCCCAGGTTCAAACGATTCTCCTGCTTCAGCCTCTCGAGTAGCTGGGATTACAGGCATGGGCCACCACGCCTGGCTAATTTTGTATTATTATTATTTTAGTAGAGATGAGGTTCCACTATGTTGGTCAGGCTGGTCTCGAACTCTTGACCTCAGATGATCTGCCCACTTTGGCCTCCCAAAGTGCTGGGATTATAGGTGTGAGCCACTGCACCTGGCCAGATGTGATTTTTTTCATAGTAAGTCTTTGGCAGTTTGGGAGGCCAAAGCAGGCAGATCACTTGAGGCCAGAAGTTAGAAACCAGCCTAGCCAACATGGTGGAACTCTGTCTCTGCTAAAAATACAAAAATTAGTCAGGCATGGGATGCCTGTAATCCTACCTACTTAGGGGACTGAGGCAGGAGAATCACTTGAACCTGGGAGGCGGAGGGTGCAGTGAGCCAAGATCACGCCATTGCACTCCAGCCTTGGTGACAGAGTGAGACTGCCTCAAAAAAAACAAAAAACATAGTAGATCTTTGAAGCACGTCACAGGCCATCCCCATCTCACCTGCTCAGCTCACCCAGGGCAGCTCAGCCCTACACCCCATGGACCATCAGGAGGCGCTAATGCTCTGGGAAGAAAGGAGAGCAGGGGAGGGGTCAGGAGCTCAGGAACTCTGGGCAGGCTAGTTGGAGTTTTAGTAACTTGGGTGCTGGGGTGGGCCTCAGAGAGGAGGTGAAGTTGGAGCAAAGACTTGAGGGGAGAGTTTTTCGTGTGGACACACCTGAGAACACCATTCTGGGCAGAGGGAACCGCTGAGGGAAGAGCAGGCATGGTGCAGCTGGAAGCGGTGGGTATTGGCAGGTCGGGGGTGGGCAGAAGGTGCTCGAGCCTGTAGGCCTCCTGGGACTCTGGGAGTCCTCCTGAGGGAGGCGGGTCTGAGCTGAGCCTTTCCCTCTAGGCCCCGAGGTACAGGAACCGGAGAAACGTCCCCTCACCCCATCCCTCAGCCAGTGACACCATGGGGACAGCAGGATCGGGAGTGCAGCCCTCTTGCCGCTGGAGTGTCAGCGGGGGCCCCAGGCAGCCCAAGAGCTCAGGGAGCCAGGGCCCCCAAGGGGAGTCCTTGGACAAGGAGGCCTGGGCCTGGAGATCCTCCATGGTCGGTGCCGGGGCCCGGAGGTGGAGCTGGGACAAGTGTGTGGACAGGGGGGACAGCTGGTCCCCACGAGTGGCTCTAGGCCGGGATTCTGGCTCTTCCAGGTGGCTCCCGCTGAGGCAGCGGTCTCTGGGGGATCCCCCAGCTGAAGGAGGCTGGCAGGAGTAGGCAAGAGAGCCCCCTGCCCAGTCCAGGCAGGGAGCTGAGTCCCACTGCCGGGGGATTGTGGCCTGGGCTGATCTTGAGCCTCAGCTGGACATGAGGGGCATGAGAATAAAGCTGAACTGCAGCCTTCTGAGTCTTGCTCTGTCTGTTGGCTGCATTGGGTACCTCGGGGCACCAGGAACACATGCCACCCCAGTCCTCCTGGTTGGCAGGGGTCTGTGGGCAGAAGGCCCCTGCCTGGACAGGGCGACACAAGCCTTTCTCCAGGGGCTTGGCCAGTCCGGCTGGCCAAAGCCCGAATGTCCTGGTGAGGTGGAGAGGGGATGACATCCTGGGTAGCCAGCAGGGATTGGAGTCTAAGATCTGGGCTAAGGGGTTGGGGGCAGTTCACAGCCTGGCGGGGCATCACTTAATGCCAGGGGCTGCCAGGAGAGGTGGGAGGGACGCTGGCTCTCTGACCAGGGCCTCTAGCATGATGCCTGAGAAGGGGGGCAATTAGGCTGGGGTGCAGGATGTGAGTCAGGGTACCTGGGGCCGCCCAGGGGAGGGTGGGGCTGCCCAGGGCTGAGATGAGGCAGCCTGAACTTGGGGGATGCAGAGCTGGGAGGGGCAGCCCGACCAGCCTCCCAGGTGTGACCTGCAGCAGCCTGAGTCCCTCCTCCTCTCAGCCAGGGCTTCACAGGACATGGCGTGGGGTGGACATCCTGGCCTCTCCAGCTGGCAGAGGAGCAGAGAGCCCCTCCCCACCGGCCTCAGGGCCTGGGGCCTCATGGCTGTCCCACTTTGCTAGGTGGCCCCATTGGTGGTCAGGAAGGGGAAGGCAAGAAGAAGAAGAAGAGGGAGCAGAGGCTCAGGAGGACCAGTCAGCAGGGGCCCTGGGCCTCATGGGGAGAGGGGGCAACCCCGTGTGGCACTGACATCTCTTCTTGAGGCCTACTCAGGGCTCTAAGCTGGGTACTGCATCAGGTTAGGAGACAACAGGGGCAGCACACATGAGGTGTGCATGGCACCTGGTGGGCTCTGCATGGTGGCTGGGGGCTGATGTGCTTCTGCAGGCCCCCTCTACAGAGAGCTGGTCAGAAAACTGGCCACTCCTCCTTGCCATGGGGTCCCAGGCTTGGCTCCAGCCCCCTCTTGGTGATGAGGCTCCTCTTTGCAAAGGCCAGTCCGCTCGGGAGTGGGACCCTGGTGGCCACCCCCAGGAAGGTGGAGTAGGGCAGGCCCCACTGCCTGAGAGCTGAGTGACTTCTAGGATCCAGACCCCTTCTCAGCCTGCCCAGCACCAGGCACCTCGCCCCCCATCTTGGGGCACAGACTCCTGGTGTCCCCCAGCCACTGGCTGCAGCCGGCATTCCCAGGCAGACCCCTGTCTTGGGGGCAAATGCCCCAGAGGCTCCAGGTTACCCACGGGCTCAGGGATGGCTCCCACGGGGTGTTTCCAGTTCCCCGGAGAGTCAAGTAAGGTCCCGGAGCGCACGGCCCTGAGGCCTGGCCGGGGGGCTCCGGAGACAGGGCGTCCCCAGCCGGCCGCCCACCGGCAGCCCGGCGCTGTCACGTTCCAGCCGCCTGACTCAGGCCGCGTAGGGCGGGGAGCCGGGAGGCGGTGCCGGCGCCCGCCTCGGCCCCGGAGGCGGCACCAGGAAGCGCCCGCCCCGGCCGGAGCCGCCATGTAACCGGCGCCGCCCGGAGCCCGAGCCGCGCGGGCCCCAGCGACCCGCCCGCCATGGGGGACGAAGACGAGGATGAGAGCTGCGCCGTGGAGCTGCGGATCACTGAAGGTGGGTGTGGGGCCTGACTGCGGCTGCCCCGGGCGGGCCAGGACGGGTCATGGACCGGCTGGGTTCATTCACCCCCTGTGCCCACAGCCAACCTGACCGGGCACGAGGAGAAGGTGAGCGTGGAGAACTTCGAGCTGCTCAAGGTGCTGGGCACGGGAGGTGAGGACCCCCATCCACCGGGCAGGCGTCCCAGACGCGGGGCCCCTGACCTTCTGCCTGCTCACTCCTGGGCCTGGGCCACTGAGCAGGCCCCCCACCCTTTCCCGGCACAGCCTGCCTTGCCTGCCCCGCCCTGCCTTGCCAGGGTTTGCATGCCCACTTCCAGGGCACTCCACGTTGACATCACTCCTCCCTCCACGGTCCTGTGCGTGCATGCCCCCCTGGATTTGCCAACACCTTGGGGAGGGGGACTTGCACCCCTCTCAAGTTATTTGCATAGCTCCTCCCTTTCTTTCAATATGGGATCCCCCTCCCACATTTTGCAAACGCCCCAGCGCTGGTTTGCACATCTCTTCCCCAGCCAGGTGCACACCTCTGCCTCCCTTCCTTGCACTGGCATCTTTTCACATCCATCTGATCTCTCGCAGATTTGCACATGCCCCGCCCCCACGCCTCGAAGCAGGCCCCCTGGAGTTGCATGCTCTCCAGCCTGGTTTGCACATCCTTTCCCTGGTTTTGCTGGGCACCCTCCAGGGGTGTGCACACCTTTTCCTTAGAAGGCTCTGCCAGCTTTTTGCACACCTGCCTCTTGCCCCAGCTCCTTCGCCTAATTTGCACACCCTCTTGGGTTGGCATCGCCCCCACCCCCCAAGCCTGCACCAATCTCCCGCTCACAGCCTACCCTCCACCCACTCGCTGCTCCCACAGCCTACGGCAAGGTGTTCCTGGTGCGGAAGGCGGGCGGGCACGACGCGGGGAAGCTGTACGCCATGAAGGTGCTGCGCAAGGCGGCGCTGGTGCAGCGCGCCAAGACGCAGGAGCACACGCGCACCGAGCGCTCCGTGCTGGAGCTGGTGCGCCAGGCGCCCTTCCTGGTCACGCTGCACTACGCTTTCCAGACGGATGCCAAGCTGCACCTCATCCTGGGTGAGCGCACGCCACATCCCAACGGGGGTGGTGTGGCTGGGGGCAGGCGAGGCCACCTGACGGGGCTGCTTCCTAACTTCCACTGCACCTCCCAGACTATGTGAGCGGCGGAGAGATGTTCACCCACCTCTACCAGCGCCAGTACTTCAAGGAGGCTGAGGTGCGCGTGTATGGGGGTGAGATCGTGCTGGCCCTGGAACACCTGCACAAGGTGGGTGAAGACCTGGTCACAGGCTGTTGCCATGGGAACTGGGTCTGGGCCTTCGAAGGAATCTGCAGGCAGGGCAGCCTCAGGCTTCCTCCTGGGCTTCCTGGGGGGCCAGTGGTGAGCTGGGTGGGAACTGGAGCTACTTCCCCAGGACCCCTTACAAGAAGCCTCATCACTGCCTGCTGGGGTCCCCTCCCCTGGCACCTCCTTGAAGGGGCTTTCCTTTTTCAGGGAACTCAGGGCCACATTCACAGAACTTCCTCAAATGGAAACCTCATGGCCTGGCTCCAAAGGCCTCCTTGAAATGGGGCTCTTCACGCAGACTCTCCTCTCTCTGGGACCTCGGGGCCTGTCCCACGGGGCCCTCCTTCTTTGCTTTATATCTTTTTTTTTTTTTTTTTGAGACGGAGTCTCACTCTGTCACCCAGGCTGGAGTGCAGTGGTGTGATCTCGGCTCACTGCAAGCTCTGCCTCCTGGGTTCAGGCCATTCTCCTGCCTCAGCCTCCCAAGTAGCTGGGACTACAGGCGCCCGCCACCACGCCCGGTTTATTTTTTCTATTTTTAGTAGAGACGGGGTTTCACCATGTTAGCCAGGATGGTCTTGATCTCCTGACCTCATGATCCACTCGCCTCGGCCTCCCAAAGTGCTGGGATTACAGGCGTGAGCCACTGCGCCCGGCCTGCTTTATATCTTAAATGGCCTTTTTTATTCAGTGGCTCTGCCCTGAGACCCCCCTCTACAGGCAGATGACCTTCTCTGGGTGGGGGGTCTCCTTATCCTGAGCAGGGCCAGGAGCTGCAGGAGCTGGGGAGGGTTTGGGAGAGGAGGCCTCAGCACCCCTCTTGCTCCTACCAGCTCGGCATCATTTACCGAGACCTGAAACTGGAGAATGTGCTGCTGGATTCCGAGGGCCACATTGTCCTCACGGACTTCGGGCTGAGCAAGGAGTTCCTGACGGAGGAGGTGAGTGGAGGTTGTCTCTGCCTGTAGTGCCCCATTCGATCCTCCTTCCTGCCTCTTCCTGCTCTGGGCCTGCATTCTGGGGCTGCAGAAGTGAATAGCTCCAAGAAGTTTCCACAGCTCAACTCTCCAACCTCACAAGTTGAGCAAGTCTTACTCTGGGCCTTGTGGGGCGCTGGAGCACAGGAGAGGCTTGGCCATCTAAACAGGACCTCTTGCCCTCCCAGAAAGAGCGGACCTTCTCCTTCTGTGGCACCATTGAGTACATGGCCCCGGAAATCATCCGTAGCAAGGCGGGGCATGGCAAGGTGGGTTGGCAGGGAAGTGGGGCTGGGGGAGGTGGAAAGGGGGGGTGTGAGGCAGGGGAGACGCAGGCTCTCACCCTGGCTCCACCCACAGGCTGTGGACTGGTGGAGCCTGGGCATCTTGCTCTTCGAGCTGCTGACGGGGGCCTCGCCCTTCACCCTGGAGGGTGAGAGGAACACGCAGGCTGAGGTGTCTCGGTGAGTAGAGCTGGACGTGGAGGGCGGCCAGGGGGCTGCAGGACCTGCCTGGGCAGCGCTGTGGGGGGGGGCTTGCTGCCCCTGACGCCCCCCCAATCCTCCCAGACGGATCCTGAAGTGCTCCCCTCCCTTCCCCCCTCGGATCGGGCCTGTGGCGCAGGACCTGCTGCAGCGGCTGCTTTGCAAGGATCCCAAGAAGCGATTGGGCGCGGGGCCCCAGGGGGCACAGGAAGTCCGGAACCACCCTTTCTTCCAGGTGAGGCTCCTGACTCAGGGCCCCACACCCCCTGGTGCATACCCAGGTGGGGCTGCTGTTCCAGGTTGAGGTTGTGCCTGGCCAGTTTCACTTTATTTGGAAATCCCCCCAGAGAAAGAAAGCAAGTGTGTGTAAGCTAGGTTTCTCTTCACATCCATCCCCGCTGAAACTTGGCAGATGCATTCCTGAAAGAAAGGATTCTAGGTTCATTGGCTGTTGGGACTCTCAGGGATTTGAGAATGGATTGGTTGGTCCTTTCATTGGACAGACCCAGAGAAGGCAGGTGACCTGCCCCAGATGGCACAGTAAATGGTGCTGAGCTGGGAACAGACCTTGGCTC